TTTCACAACTAAGGTCACGTATTGATTGTGTCTTTACACCCTCAATTGAACCTCATCTTCATCTTCGCTCCCGTAACCCTCACCCCTATCCCCACCATTCCCACCCCCAACAATATTTGCCAAGTTTATATACGATCTCTTTTAGTATAATACTTTGGGCCGATTTTTTTAGTATACAAATTAAGAATCGTATTTACACCAAAATAGAAACATTTTTTTTTTCATTCATATAGCAATTTTTTTTTTCAAAAGTAGAATTTAAATTAAAAAAAAAAGATTTCCAAATCAGCCACGCTTATCAATATTCCCATAAATTTCTCTAATTATTTTACCTTCCTTATTTATTCAAATTTGTTATATATTATCTTCCAATAGAGGTTTCCTATCAAAACAAAACTCCCCTTCTCTGATAAGAATAACTATCGAAAAATGAATACCAATAATTTTTCAATTCCAATTCAACACAACGGACGATGGGACTCATCAGGTAATTGTATAAAATAGTTCGCATGGTGTTTTATTACGTGGTTATATATGATTTATCACAAATATCTATTTTGTACTTTTCGAGAGCTATTTGTTTGGTTTAGTTTGTCTAATTTGGTGAAATTGAATTCATCTAATTTGGTTTATGTTCTGGATCCTCGAAATTTTGGTTTAATTACAATAACTACATATGATTTGGTTGTAAACTGAAGTGTCAATTTTTTTTATATTAAAGTTTACGTTTCATATGATTTGTTTTGAAAGTATGTTACATTATTGTTCGTATTATAGTTATTAAGTTGGTGTATATAATATAATAATTAGAAAAAAATGTTCATATATTGATTGGTGGTATCCTAATAAAATATAAAATTAAAAATTTTGAATTTGTATGTGATCTGGTACATATGATGGTATATTTGTTGCTACGAACTGACACCAAACTAATTGCCTGATGTATGTATCAATTTGAAAAATTGGATTGGTATGTTGGTACATATGATGGTTTGTTGCTACGAATTGACACCAAGCTATAGCCTAATGTATGTGTTGGTGTATTTTTTGGTCCAATTTATATTGGTGTATTAGACATATGTTGTTAATGAGTATTTTTGTTATCTGCCACCAATTTTTTTTGAATTTTGACTAACAAATATTTGTAATGTCGCAGGAAAGTATCTAAATTTCAAGATTGAAGGAGTGATATGATGTGGACACCAATTACCAAGACTTGATTAATACTATTGCTTCTCAATTAGGTGTGGACACGATCATTTTTGAGTTGGAACTCAAATATGTTGTGACTGATCCGTTCCCACCATTGAAGATTCATAGTTTTGAAAAATACACCAAAAAATCAACTTTAGATACACCAAAGTGTTTTATGTATATTTGAGTATATATTGGTGAATAAGACTTTGTAATGGTTAAATTGAACTTTGTATATGAATTTTTGTAGTAATTATATTAATAATATCTTCATTTATTTACAGATCGTGCTAAAACGTTTATGACATATGTAGTTGTGAAAAATTTCAACATGATGAAATTTCTTATACTCATGCAATTGTTGCTATCGGATACAAAAACAAACGTGGTGAAAACTATTGTTCAGCCTATTACAGTAATAAAGATTTTCAAAATATTTATGCAATATCTATTGATATATAGTAGTATATTTAAAAGGTATAAAATAGTAATAATTATTGGTATAAAATAATATATTTATATATAGTAGTAAAATAATTATTGGTAAAATGATGGTTATATAATTGGTATATATGTATGTTTATATATTACATGGTTGCATATTTGGTGAAACTATGATGCAGTTATAATTGTGAAAGCACTATGCATACTTGATGAAACCTACATGTTTTTTACCTAGATGAAAATAATGGTAAAAATGTGAGAGAAGGCTTCCATTAATAATATGATTTGATTGAATAAAAAATTAAGAGAGAGAAAATCATATATAGAAAAACAAAGTAACGTAAAAGAGTAAAACTGTTGTTGAAAAAGTCAAAAAAATGTAAACAATAATTACCAATCCCATAAAATTAGCACATAACCTCCCCTAAAAAAGATAATAGATACGGATACCAACTATATTTTTAACAAATAAAAAATTAAATATTTTGTTATGTTTGTAATTAAAAACTTAATTTTGTAAATAAAAAAGAGTATATGTATATTTAACTAAAGTTTTAAATAGTGTATTCTTGTAATTTTCCCTAATACTACTTTTTACTCACTTACATACCAAATACAAAAAAAAAAAATGATTTTCATTTCTTTATCTTTTATCTTTTATCTGTCTCCTCTTAATAGATGATAGACCTTTGTGTGGTGTATAAACCATCGTACTAAAATCACTCTTCTTGTGACAAAATTTAAGTACACTCGATGTTTATATATATAGATTATAAGCCATAGTTTCTTTTAATTAATAAATTGGGATAAAAATATGTGTTAGTTAATTATACTATACCTACTTGTTTAGGAAGATAATCTAAGATGAAGTTTTAAAATATTTTTTGTATATCTTTATAGAAATCTCAAGTTTAAGTCCTGAAAAATGAATAAAACTAAAAAAAAATAGGAGAAGTGCTCGCATTGCCGATTTCATTATCATCTTTAAGAGATAGTAAAAAATTCATAAATTTTTACAAGTTTAGTCATTTTAAAATCTACATCAAACGCATAAATTTTAAAGTTTTTAAAATATCGATCAAACATAAATCTAGCTTTAGACATGTATACTTGAATTAAGCTTGTTAAAGTCAAATTTTAGATTAATTTGGAAGTAAATAAATTTCAAATATTTTTTATGAAATTTCACTTGGCAGTCCCAAAAATTAGAGATGTTCAAGGAAAATTGATAAACTGCACCGAATCAATAAATCATATCAAACATACTTAAAAGAACTTGTGAGTTTAGACATGTTACAATAATGATTATATAGTTATAAGAGTGTTATTTTTGTTGCGGAAGCCGAATATATAGAGTGATGAAATCACAACTGCTATATCTAAAGGTAGCTAATAAATAGTAGATGAGACAACTATAAAAAGAACACCAGGAATTAACGAGGTTCGGCAAATTTTTGTTTTCTTTTGCCTACTCCTCGGACACAACCAACCAATATTTATTTCACTCCAAAAGAGTACAAGTGAAAATACTACAAGAGAGAAAGAAGATCAAATGTCTTTGAAGATGAGAAGGCAAGTGAGAGGTGTGTTACAAATGAATTAGGAACTACCTATTTATAGGAGTGAATTCTTCCTATTGATGTCATCCATGACATCACAATGTGTCAAAATGTCAAGATTTACCTTGTGAAACCATTTTATGGTTCACCTAAATTTCACCTACAAAAGATGTTATCTTGACTTTTGTACCAATGAAGAATTATCTTCCTAGCTATCAAATCTTCACATTAATTCATCTTTGAATCTTGTCAAATCTAACAATTAGCTATCAAGTGTAAAACCTTTAAAAAAAGAAAATCAAATTCAAATATAAAAAAATATGTTTCTTTCCTTAAGAGGGATTAGGGAAGGGCCCAAAAAGAAAGGCTTTGAATAAAATGAAATAAATGGCATGATAAAGTTGGATAAATACTTAACTTGATGTTGTGACATAGTATTATCAAAAGGTTTGGGGTAGTGGATGAAATTATTTCTCCCTTAATCAAAAGTATTAGTCATATGGAAAAAACATTTGTAAGGAACGCTATCTTGAATGGGCGTTACTCGGCACGAATCCCTACTAATCGGACTCCATCATAAATACTGAACTTCGAATAAGAAATCCCCCTCAAAAAAAACATATCTTGACAGTCAAATACTTCAAGAAGATCGACAAAATTTTCTTTATATCAAATCAAATAAATCTCAAAGAAGTTCAATCAAATAAATCTCAAAAAAGTTCAATCATCCTAAGAAATATGTAACTGAAAAACACTCCTATCAATTATCATAGAGAAATTAATTCAAAAACAAGAATTATGAGAGTAATAAAATAGTACCTACAATGTTTGTTAATAAAAATATATTTCTTTGTATTTTACTTGTGATTGTTATTCATGTTCCATTATTTTAAAATTTGTTAAACACTTACTAATTTGAAAATATTGAGAAATATTTTATTCTCAGTATCTTATTACAACATTATGAAAATTCATAAGAGTAGAGTTAGTTATGCATGAAATACTTTTTCTAGTTTGTATCAAAGATACTTAAAAAAAATTGTAATTTTAAGCACAATAATGATATAGTTATAAGAGTATGATATTAACTACTATTAAGTATGAAATTTAAAAATATAAAAATATAAAAAACGTGTTTTTTTCCTTGGACGGAAGGAACTGAAAAAAGAAAAAGTTTTGAACTAGATGAAATAATAAATAGTATGATAAAGTTTGGTGGATACTTAACTTTTTGATATCATGGCTCCACCAAAGGATACGTTGTTTATAGCGAATGAAACTGTTTTTTCTTTAATTAAAAATTTTGATCATTTTACGTCTTGGTATGGAAATATTTTTGGTAGGGAGTGTTACTGTCGAATAAGCCTAACCTGATGTAAATCTGCATTAATCAAACTTCATTACAGATATCAGACACCGAATTTGGAAACAACCCCCCCCCCCCCCCCCTCCATGACTCGAACCTACAATCTTAGAATTTGAAGGTGAGAGTTAGGTACTTACCATTGGAGCAAAGCAAAATGTAAATATTTAGTATATTTATAAATAGAGAAAACAACACAACTTGTTACTACAGTAAATTTATTAATTTGTCCACATCATCAAATATCAATACTATTTATGTAAAAATTATGTGTACGCCACTGGACTCAACAACCAGATACTTGTGACATACAAATAACTTGAACCTCACAATGAGGTGTCATTTTCTAACATGAAAGCCACACATCAATCTCACCAACTATTAGCCCAAAACACTTCATATATATATATATATATATATATATATATATATATTATATATCTTGTGGTGACTACATTTTTAGCCTAGCAAATGGAACCATCAGTAGATAAGTCCAATTATTACACTGACACTGATGAGATGATCAATTGGTTCGAGAAATCCGCTGAAAATGCTGCCGCTGTACAGCGGCAGACGCTTCGGCGGATTCTTGAACTCAACCATGGTGTTGAGTACCTAAAAAAATGGCTTGGAGATATTAGACTTCAAGATGAAAATGCTATGGAATCACTTTATGCTACTATGGTTCCTCTTGCTTCTCATGCAGATTTTGAGCCTTATATACATAGAATTGCTGATGGTGAAAAAGCTCCTTTACTCACTCAAGACCCTATGAAAACTTTATCCTTAAGGTGAAGTACTATACTTCTTGTTTCTTAAACCACAATACATTCCTCTTCTTTTTTCTTTTTTTTCTTTTTTTTGGGGGGGTGGGGTGTGGGGTGTGTGTGGATACAGTGAGATTCGAACCTCTATCACTATCACTAGAGTGATGGTGTGGGTAGCTCATCAACTAAGCTACATCAGACTATATGTCAAGTCACATCTTTTTCTAATTTTTGACTCTATAGAATTTATTTTATATTGTTAGTGTATATAGAGGTAGATATACCTTGTGTTTGATGGTTTTAATGGAACAATATCATTTCCGACACTGATGACTCAGTGGCGGAGCTATATAGATTGAAGGATGGTTGGTAAAATATTTGTTCACCGTATCGGAAATTACTTTATATATATATATATATATATATATATATATATATATATATTAATCATTTGAGCTACACTCCACTATAAGCCATATTTTCCACTAATTTTGATTGAATTTTTTTTTATATTATCAGTGTATATAGAGGCAGATGTATCATGTGTTTGATTGTTTTAACTAAATCTATCATTTACGGCACGTAGTGACGGAGCCACATAAATCGAAAGGTGGTCGGCTAAACACCAGTTCATACGTCAAAAATTACTTTTTTTATACATATATATATTAGATCTTGGATATTATTAGTACATAATTTGTAAGATGAAAAATCACTAGATGTCAAAAGATACTAAATTTGAACTCATAATTTTAAAAATATAATGTATAAATTGTAAGATTTAAAAGTTAACCCGTTAGGATAAACTCTGAATCTGTCTCTAAGTTTCTTAAGTGTATAGAAGTTAAACTCTTCTTTATTTTTCAAAAATATTGGAATAGCACTGAAGAAGCACCCTTTTGGCAATGAAATAGTTTATAGTACGGAATATTTTTTCATCTTATGTATGTAATAATGTCAAGCGATATGGATAGTGTTGATTCATATATCGGATCCAACTTGTTCGGAATTGAGACATAATGATTATTTTTTTTATTCTTTTTAGTTCTGGAACCACAGAGGGAAGACAGAAATTTGTACCATTTACTCACCATAGTTCCCAAACAACTCTTCAAATTTTCAAATTGGCAGCAGCTTATAGATCAAGGTATATAATTCAAATCTTGAAAAATATTCAAATTTTTTTTATTTTTTTATAACAAATTTCCTCTGTTTTAATAAAACAGGATTTATTCAATAAGAGAAGGTGGAAAAGTTCTTGAATTTATATATAGCAGCAAACAATACAAAACAAAAGGGGGATTAATAGTAGGAACAGCCACAACACATTATTATGCTAGTGAAGAATTCAAGATTAAACAACAACACACAAAGTCTTTTACTTGTAGCCCTGAGGAAGTTATTTCAAGTGGAGATTATAAACAATCAACATATTGTCATCTCCTTCTTGGCTTATATTATTGTGATGAAATTGAATTTGTCACATCAACTTTTGCATATAGTACAGTTCAAGCATTCAGATCATTTGAAGAGTTGTGGAAGGAATTGTGTCATGATATAAGAGAAGGTACACTTAGTTCAAGAATCAACATAACCAAAGTTCAAAAAGTCGTCTTAGGTATGTTACTATCTTATCTAAAAGTTTATACAGTTTGAAAGAGTTAATTACTTCATCACACACCAACTCACGTGTGAGCCTGACTCTTTTTTTTTTCTTTTCTTGGGCCTACCACATGAAAGTTCTTTTAGTGATGAGCGGTAGTGAGACTTGAATATCAGATTCTCTGGATTTGTCTGCTCCGATATTAATTTTCATCTAAAAGTTTAAAATTGTTAGAAAGTGTTTATTTTTAATTAATTGACTATGTTTTCAACACGGCCTTTCATGTGCCTTGACTCTTTTTTCTTTGGCCTGAGTAACTGTGTAACTTAAACAGAAAACCCTATGCCTACTCCAATATTAATGTTGAAGTGTGTATGTAATCATCTCATTTAAAAAAAAATTAACGGTTAGAAAGAGTATATTTTTAATTACTTCACTATATCTTCAACACGGCCCTTCATGTGCCTTGGCTCTTTTTTCTTTGGCCTACCACGTGAATATATTTTTTTGGTTAATAATGAGTAATTGTGTAACTTAAACAAAATACCATATGCCTACTCTGATGATAGTGTTGGAATACGTTACCATCTCATTTAAAAACTTGAACTTTTAAGGATGACACATACATTTAATTACTTCATTATGTCTCCAACACATCCTTCACATGTCTACCTCGTTATTCTTTGGCCTAGCACGTGAAAATTATTTTTTAGTAATGAGTAATTGTGTGACTTGAACAGAAGACCATCTATCTGCTCTGATATCAATGTTAAAATGTATTACCAAAAAAAAATATGCTTTTAATTACTTCATTATGTCTTCAACAGATATCATTGTCCCTAATCCAGAGTTGGCATCAAGAATTGAATCAATATGTGAAGAAGTAGAAAGGGAAGATTGGTTTAGTATAATCCCAAAATTATGGCCAAATGTTAAATATGTTTACACAATAATGACTGGCTCAATGCAACCATACTTAAACAAATTGAGACATTATGGTGGGGATTTGCCTTTGGTTAGTGCTGATTATGGGTCCACAGAGAGTTGGATTGGAGTGAATGTGGAACCTTCATCTCCACCAGAGAAAGTAACTTTTGCAATTATACCCACTTTTTCTTACTTTGAATTCATACCACTACATAGAAGTAAGTCACAAAGTTTCAATAATAGCCACAAAGATGCTAATCTTCTAGCCAATGATGATTTTATTGAAGATGAGCCTGTTCCCTTATCTCAAGTCAAGATAGGACAAGACTATGAAATTGTCCTCACTACTTTCACAGGTACTATACTCTAATATTTAACTTTTACTTCTTTTTTTTCTTGTGGTAAAATGTTTTGTGGGGTATATTATTTGTAACATTGTTATTTAACATATACTCACTTTTTTAAAATCTTTGTGTGTTTACCAACTTTGAAATATGTGGTATCTGAAGTCAAGCCTAACTTCAGACAAAAATGTCTAGATTTGTTTTGAAGTTGGTGAACTTGTACATTCTATGCTTTGTGAGTATGACTCAAGTGATTTTACTAAAATAGGATATTTGTGCATTTTGGTCTACCCTGTATCCATTTTAGGGTTCTGACTAATGAAATTCGTATCACATGAGGCCTATCAAAGGGAAATAACTCTCCATCAATACTTTTTTTTACATTCAAGACTAGAACCTGAACCTTTGATAAAGGTGAAAATATTCTATACATTCCATCGTAACACATGGTGACCAACTTTTATTGTTAACTTTTTCCAATATATTCTAACTATTTATGCCCCATACATTTAGCATTAATTCGTTTTTGCTTGTCATTGTCATGAAAATATCTCTCTACTTACCACCAACCATATAAGTTAGATATTTGGATGACTTTTTTGTTGAATATAAATTAAATTATTTTATATATATATATATATAAATTACTTTAATATGTTATAGTAATTAAATAACTTATTGTATTTTTTTAGAAGACTTGATGATATAACAAAATTCTTTATAATGTCAGTATATATGGAAGTACTTGAACTCTAAATTAAGACTACATCAAGCACCATACATCAATTATTTGTAGTGGCATGGGCAATGAGTATATCATCCAGTTAAATACTAACATGGTGTGTCTGAGATTCCAAGAACAAGGGATTTATCTTGTCCTTTTCATATTACAAAATTTCCCTATAAAAAAAAAAGGAGGGTGGGGGGTGTGTGACTGTGTGGGGGTGGGGGGACTTGAGAAATAAATTACAAAATCACTAAATGATAACTATAAATAATTGTTCATAATAATTTGAATAGTAACAAAACAAATAAGACAAGTAATCTGATTCATCATGTCACATATGTCAGTGCATATACCTTAAATTTAATCTTTTTTAACTAACTAAACCTTTATATGTAGGTCTTTATCGATATAGACTAGGGGATGTAGTAGAAGTTGCCGGTTTTCACAAGAAGACCCCCAAACTCAACTTTATATGCAGGAGAAAGTTGATATTAACAGTAAATATCGATAAGAATACTGAACAAGACCTCCAGTTAGTGGTGGAGAGAGGTTCTCGAATACTAATAAGCAAGTCAAGAGCTGAGCTAGTAGACTTCACAAGCCATGCAAATGTATCAAAAAAACCAGGCCATTATGTGATCTATTGGGAAATCAAAGGAGATGTTGATGAAAATGTTCTTGGAGAGTGTTGTAGGGAAATGGATGCTTCTTTTGTTGATCATGGATATGTTGTATCAAGAAAGACCAATTCAATTGGACCATTGGAACTTTGCATTGTTGAAAGAGGTACTTTCAAGAAGATTTTGGAACATTTTATTGGAAATGGAGCAGCATTGAGCCAATTTAAGACTCCTAGATGCACTAGTAACCAAGTCCTATTAAGAATCCTTAATGTATGTACCATTAAAAGGTTTTATAGCACAGCCTATGGGTGATAGAATGTTTGTAACATAATTGAATTTGCATTGATATCTACTTTACTTGTCGTTTTTATTAAAAATAAATGATTCAAAACAGTTGCCTTATTAAAAAAATCAAGATATATCTAATTGAGTACATTTTTCTCATTTTGCTCTTAGTAATAATTATTCTTGAAAGTAGTAACATTAACTAATTAGTGTAGAAAATTTAAGTGAAGAACACATACACATACTTAAATATTGTGATTGTTTAGATTAACTTTCTTTCTATCTATTGAAGATGAATTAAGGGACGTATAAATAAAAAATATGACAAGTAAAATTGTCTAGAGGAAGTACTAACTAGTTTGTACTTGACAAGCTAAGTACTACCTTCGTACACTTTTACTTGTCGACTAAACTAAATTAAAGGAGACATTAAGTTAAGTGACAATAGATTTTCTTTTTGTGGTAATATTTATTGCCGCAAAAATATTTAGTGGCAATTAAAATCGGATTTAATAAACCGAATCGAATTACAAAAAACTAAACTGATTCACAAAAAATCGAACCAAACCAAATTGATTCGGTTCAGTGTTCGAACAACAATCTCAGAAATTGAAAATCGAACCAAATTATCGAATGCCCAGCTCTACTCTATTGTATTTTAAAACTAAAAGAGAACCACATAAATATAAAAATATATCTTTTTTTTTAATTTGTCGTGATTTAATACCCAAAATAGTACCCTCCATTCATTTTTACTTGTCATTGTTTGACTTGACACACCCATTAAGAAAACAATTATTGATATATGTATTTTACCACACTATCCCTACTAAATGATGTTTAGCATTAGGTCTTGGAAAATGATTTGGAGGATAAGTATTTAATGTTGAGGGTAAAACATGAAATAATTGTCTTTTCTTGATACGTCAAAAATGACAAGTAAAAATGAAAATCTACTTTAGGAATAAGTGACAAATAAAAGTGAACGGAGACAGTATTTATATGTCGTCCTTACTAAAAATAGATGATCCTTAATATTTGTCATTTCACAAAATCAATGCATAAATGACATTATTCTTCATATTTTACCATTAAGAAAACAATTATTAACATAGTGAGTTTATCATTTTACCCCTATTAATTATGAAGTGGATGAATTAAAAACTTAAAATTTTCAAGAAAATCTATCTTTTTCAAAGTAATTAATTGGGGGTATAATAGGTAAAAAAAATTGTCCTTTCTTGACTTATCAAAATGGACAAGTAATTAGGGACACTTAAAAAGAAAAAGTAGACAAGTAATTAGGGACAGAGGGAGTATTAGTTTTGAAAGTATAAATTTGTCCAATATAAAAAAAATAAAATTAGTTCATGTTCATTGGTCAAATTAATTAATCAAAATAAATTAAGTCATGTTCATTTATTGAAAATTTGACTTCAAGAGAACATTAAATAAGAGTACAATAATAAATTTACCTAGTTTTTTAAGGACGTAAAATTTAAAATAATGATAACTAAATAAAAATAAAGAAAATATAGTGTACAAGTAAATATGGACGGAGAGAGTACTCAACAAGTGATATGAATAGTCCAATCTTGATGGACATGTCATTGTTAATTATGGGACCAATTATGGGACCAAATTAAATGTGAACATTTAAAGGGATTGTAGACCCAAAAAGCTTATCCATCACTTACCACAATTGGTTTGAACTTTGAACCACATGTACTTTCTTGATCTCATATTATTTAAACTTTATACATATTAAAAATAAATTCTTCATTTTATTTGTCTAATTTAAAATAAATTTAAAGAATTTTATTAAACTTTTTTATAGTATTAAATAGCTACATTTTAAATAATAGTAATCAATTTTAAAATTTTAAAGTATCATAAATAAAAATAAAATTGTATGTATATAGATTTTAAATTCCATGGAGATAGACAAAATTAAAGGTTATCTTAATGATTTAGGGGGTTTCAAAATCTACTTGACGTGTTAAAGTTCAAACTCTATGCACTATATTTTTTTACTTTCCAAATCTCTTTTTAATGAAAATTCTGAATCTCTAACTATAGGTTGAAACTAGTATTTAAGGATGTAGTTCAATTGAATCTCTTTCGTCTAAAAATTATATTGTATAAATAGAATAATTTGCAATAAATTTTTATAAATACAAAAAATGTATTGCAATCACAAAAGAAATAGATCTATATACTCATTTGATTCTTCTTTTCTAAATTTTCTTTTAGATTTGAGGATCATTATAATTAGTAGCATATTTTTCAAACATTGAACTTTCTTGTGATGTATTTGATCACCAAGAACATTAGACAATACTTTAATCCGAGTGTGAGAAAGACGATATTTGATATCTTGATCTCTTTAAAGAAAGTCCAATTTTAACAAAATATTCAAGATATCTTTTTAAGAGAATGAGCACCCCTTTACATAGCGTGATCTAAGTTAATTAGAATAGAATAGTCTTCAAAAATTCTAAAAGACGTTAAAATTTGAAAATAAATTTAACTCACCTCGTAAAATATTATTTTAAATCCTGTAAATTTCAATGTCTACCTACGTACTTAGGTGCCTACTACTACAAAAATGTCATGAATCTATATTTTGTTGCACTTCCTTATAAGTTTTTTTTTTTTACTGAAATGAGTGTAACATGATTTTTTATAATTTGAATTTTAAAAAATCCTACAAAGATCTTTTATGTGTAAGAATATCTTTTTATATAAAAAAAATGAAAATAAATTTATGAAAAACGATAAAACAAAATTATTTATATTTTTCAATATTCAATTAAATAACAACATATATAAAAATTATACGACACTAAAGGAGGGTGCATGAATATGACAACACAATTACAAGTTGTTAGGACCAATTAATATAAATACAATAAATACAACTATACAAATATGAAAAAAGTCAATCATACAGTTGCTTTTTGAAATAATGAATTCACAAACTACTTAATTAGTTGCTGCCAACGCATCTAGGTCCCAACAGTTAAATGATGAAGTCGAGTAAATTTCGAATTTAAAATTTATGAATTTTATTTTTAAAATTTTAAATATCAAACTTTTTATACTTTTATATTTAAGGATCAACTCTATTTTTTATTACAATTTTACAAAAAAAAAAATTAATGTAAATTTATGTTTAAGATTAAAAATAATAATAATAATAATAATAATAATATATTTAATGTTATTCTATAAATAAAGTCTAAGAAAATTAAATTGTACTTAGACCTTATTAATATCTTGTAGAAATAGAGCTCGCTTCAAATAAAGTAAAGCTATTTGAAAAGAAAAGTACAAAAGTAGATCAGATATAATAAATAATAGAAAAACATTACATAATAATCAGAATAATCTAGAATAACGATACAATAATGCGAGAATAGTACTAATAATAATAGAACTCAAACACACAAGAAATAACATAATAATAGAAATAAAAAATATAATAAAAAAGGGAAACTTTCACATATAACCACTCAAAAATAGCTTAATTACGCTTTATAGTTATAGTTTGCTAATTACAATTTGTAGCTACATGTTATGGAGAGGAGAGTGGCGAGCGAGATTGGGCGAGGGAGGAGAGAGGAAAGCGAGAGAGGGCAGAGAATGGTAGAGAGGTGAATTGTATATGTATATCGGTTAGATATTGTCTATATGTAACTGGTATACATATGTATTTGTATATCTGGCGAGCGAGATTGGGAGAGGGAGGAAAGAGGCGAGCGAGAGAGTGCAATAATTTGTATAATTCACATCTCGTTTGTATAATTCGCGGGTACGTTTGTATAATTCGCGTGTTTTTGTATAATTGAGTAATATAAAGTCTGGAATTATATAAATATGATAAAACACAAGATAATGAATTGATACAGACATAAACATATGAACTTTAAACAGTTATACAAATTATATGATACAAATTACATTATATAAATTATATTGTACAAAATTCGAAAATCTACACGTTTATACAAACTTAAAAAAGTTATACACAAAAAGATTGAATGTATATGGTGATAAAACTGAAAAACCAAAGGAAATCATCGTCATATACAAATACAAACCATTGTATACAAATACAAATCAAAAGAAGAATTATTAGTTGAGAATTATACAAATGTGTCGAATTATACAAACACGACTAATTATACAAACTCGAAGTCAACCCACGTAATTAATGGTTAATGTTAGTCATGAATGGTAATTATAGCAAATTATAATTATGATAACTAATTAAATAATCTAAATTTATTTAACAGCGTAATTTTCCCAAAAAAAAAAAAAAAACCTTTCATGAAAGTTGAATATCCAATCATTCTTCACCATTAAAATGAGGGAGAAAATGAGAAAAAAATATTAAAGACAAAAGTACACGTTGTTAAAGATATGGACGGTGCATATTTAGAAGGCGTAAGCGGTTACGTCAAAATTAATTTATTTATATATAGTAGATGTTAAATTTATATTTTTTTATATTTATTTATATACTTTTTTTAATGAATTCAAATAAATTGAATTTTAATATAAATTGAAAAAAAAGCACTCTCTATTCAAATTAATCAGACTTCAATTAAATGTCAATGGTTGAAAAGATAATACACTTTATTTAAATATTTTTTATACTCGGAACTCGAAATTAAAAAATAAATAAATATTACACGACAAAATATCCATAGCCATGCAAAAAAAAAAAAAATTAAAAACGAAAACGTGGACAATTTGGTATCACATATCCTATCAATTTTTTCTTAAAAAAACAAAAAGAATGAATAGTTATTCTTGCACTGTGAAACTCGTTTTAATTTACACAGAAAATTCAATCATTGATGCTTGAAAACTAGGATTTATCACCAACAAACAACTTTATTGATTTTGAATGATTTTAAATACATTTTTGTCATATTATTTGATAAGATTTCATAATGATGATGTTCGTTATCTGATCATACAGCTGGAATATTTTCGTATAATTAGATGTTAAAAAAAGGAGTAATAATCAAACATTACTATTTGTCGTGTTTCATGACCAAATTAATTATTTTCATTTTTCTAGATTTAAGTAATACAACTTACTAAGATAATTAAAAACATTATTTAAACTACTATAAGTTCTATATTAGTAACGGGTAACTATAAAATTATTTTCATGCACTAACAACGTAAAAGTTATTTTCACAATTAGATCACTACAAAAGTATTAAAGTTATTTTCGTATATATATCATGTATATGTTTGTGTATATCAATTTAAAATGTATATATGATCTACAAATATACATTGTCGAGGTAATGTTTTCCAGATCGATTTAGGTCTAAATTTCGACTCTATACTCATCGAAATCTCCGGCAATGCTCCTTAACGTTTGTATATAGCCTCGTGCTCCCGGTGATTCCTAACCACACCCACTTAAAAAACTATTCAAAATCTTCAATTTCGAGTTTAATTGTGATTTCAAGATCGAAAATCGAGTTTAATTTTACATTTGGGCTTTTCATATTGACTTTTTTTCAAGAAGCCCTACTATTGTAAATGGGTTAGGCCCCATTCATATGCAAAATCTAGTTGTGTTGTATCCCACCATAAAATTGTTTTCATGAAGTAATAGTGTAAAAGTTGTTTACATAGTTAATTAGTAATTAATATGTAATTATATCTATTAGAATTGAATGGTAACGAAAAAAATAGGAAGTAATTTGGTATAACATGTTAAATTATAATGATGGATTTAAATAATATGTGGTGTTTTCGATAGGGAGAAAAATATTTTTTCAATTTTCTCAAGTTCGATTGGTCAAGTTTCTCAGAAAATAATATGTGGTCATGTTCTTTAAAGATGAAGAAAATGACTTCTCTAGTGAAAGTAGGGAAAACAAATTTGACAAATGACATTCACGTTGATTGTGTCTACCCCACCCTCCAACAGACTTCACTGCGATGATGCTATTATTGATCGTTTTCAAAATCTTGATTAAGATAATGTACTTTTGTTATATTATTACCACATTAATGAATTTCAAAAATACTAAAGTTTGTGCTTTGCTATCATAATTATTAAAAAAAATTAAGAATTATTTTATGAATATTAAACTTACCTCGTGATTCACCAAAAAAAATATCCTTGTTGAACAATAAAAAATAATGAAATAAACAAATCAAAAAGTGAATATTCAAAGCATTGGAGATTCATAGTTAACAAGAAAATCCATAGAAATAATCCCCCCTACAAAATCTTAGTACTTTCCGTTTAATTTATTAAATTTTTTACCTATATATTCCACTTCATTACACAATATACAATTCCTCCACTTCCTAAGTCCAATATTGTCTTATAGTACAAAAAAAATAAAAAATGAAGAACAACACTATGAGTTCCATTTCTTCTCATGATTCACAAAATGACATAAATTGCTATCGTGTTTATGTCTCGTTCTTGGGAAAAATTGTAGTACTGATCCTAATGATAACATGTCGAATTGGATATCATGTTACTACCCTTCAACGAATTCATGGAATACTTATGTCACATCGATTCCAGGTCTTTTGGAGAATCATGTCCTCAAGAATTTCGCGATGATGGTTATTGGTGAGGAAATTTTTGTAATTGGAGGACGACAATGTTACAAGGATGTAATTGGTAGTTCGGAAACTAATAACGTTCACGAAATTGATATAGAAATTCTTCCTTCGGTCCTTAAGTACAATGTTGGTAAAGATTGTTGGACTAAATGTGCACCTTTAGAAACTCCAAGGTTTAATTTTGCATGTATGACTTCTAAAGAGGGCAAAATCTATGTAGCTGGTGGACAAACAACATTTGATGGTGCTAAGGGTACCTCTTTGGCTGAGGTTTATGATCCTATCCAAGATGAATGGAAACAACTACCTAACATGAGCACCACGAGGTACGATTGAAGTGTGTGACTATCTCGTCAAATGACTTAAGTTGTTACGAACTGACTATATTTTTAGTTACTTGTGTTATATTTTGACTCAAAACACTCCTTGTATAGACCTAATTTTTTTGATACACCAAATGGAATACTTTTTGGAGTTTCACTACACAACATATCTAAGTTCTAACAAAGACCATAACAAAAACCAATATAATCTTTCATTATTTTTTTTAGGGGAAATACATAGTTACCCCATTCAACTATAACACTTTTTTTAAAAAGACACTCAAACTTTACAAGGATCCTAATACCCACTGAACAATTTGAAAGTAATATAAATACCCCATTTTTCGGTCAAACCCACTTATAAGAAAGAAGGTGAAAGCACGCACCAATTGTTGCTTGCCATGTGTAAATTTTATATAATTTTCTACTTTTTGTTTTTATTTACAGTTTTTTTTTTAAATTTTAATTCTTTATTTTCTTTTCCTTTTTCAATTCACCATCACTGACATGCTATACACCATTTTCACTGTGTTTATTATCAATCAATCAAGATTAAACCCTAAATTTGAAAAATCAAATCAGCTAGCAAATTGATTTTTTTCTTAAATTAAAATCTCTATCAAAATATTATTTTGTGAACTTTGCCTTTGATTTTTGCAATCAACACGGTTGTATCTGGAAAAACGGAAATTCTTTCTCCGAGCTTGGATGGGACAATTTTTTCTTGGTGTGAAGACGATTTTCAGCCCCGTAATTGATTAGGAGTCACTTGAAATAACGCCGATGATTCTTTTTTTAACGTCGCCATCATCTTCCCGCACTTCTCACCTCGCTGGTCAAAAAGGAGGAGAAGATTTTCGCTGGCGAAGAAGGAAGAAAAGAAATCTAAGGATGAAACGGCAAAATCAGTCGGCGTTGCTATTGCAGAGGAAATCAACTAGTTGCCATTGAAAGAGAATGAAAAAAAAAAAAGAGAAAAAAAATCCTTGAAGTCATTGCCATCTCTTTCAATGGTGAAACTCTTAGGAAGGAGAAAGAAAAAATAAAATTTAATTCTAAAATAAATTTTATTTATATATTTAATAAAAAATATTGAAAATAAAAAGTTTAATTATTTTTTTTAGTTTTCACGCTCTTCAGGCAAGTTATATACACTCTCTGTCTTAAATGTCGAAAAAGGGTTTAAAAATTTCACTTTAAACTAGTTTAGGGGTGTATTAGGACCCCCACAAAGTTTAAGTGTCTTTTTCAAAAAAGGGTCATAGTTTAGGGGGGTTTCTATGTATTTTCTCTTTTTTTTTACAAATTTTAGCCAGTATAATCATTCCATAAAATGTGTATATACATTATCAACAATGTATATATAGTATACAATCATTATATATACTTGTTATACAATGAGTATACATGCACCACGATGGTTACAAATGGTACTTATCGCTAGGTGAGTGAAAATCTTGATATCATGCGTGTTGAATTGCGTAACCATCTTATCAAAAAGATTATTATTAAAAAGGTTACTTGATTAAATTATGTCTTAACAGGTACAAGTGTGTTGGTGTGTCATGGCAAGAGAAATTTTATGTGGTTGGGGGATTTGCCAGAAGAGAAAACACTGACACTCATCAAGGACCCTATATTATGGAAAGAAGTTCTGCTGAGGTGTACGATCCAGAACGCGACACATGGGATTACATGGCGAGGATGTGGGACCTAGATGTGCCACCTAATCAAATAGTGAATATTGATGGGAAGCTTTATAGCTCAGGTGATTGCTTAAACACATGGAAGGGACATATTGAGTCCTATGATGGGAAACACAATTTATGGTACATAGTGGATGATTCAAGTTCACCAATTTCTATATTAGATGACACACAAAATAATTGGCCAAATTTGGAAAGAATGTTTTGCACTATGTCTCCTATAGGAACAAAGTTGTATTTTTTGGCTGGTTATAGGAATATGTTGGGTGATAATTATATATCAAGAACAAGAAGTGAAGTACATGTTTTTGAAACAACCACAAATGGGAATGGATGGAGAAGTTTAATTGAACCATTAGAGGAACAAGGGGGAAAAGAGCTTTGTAGCCATTCTTGTTTTATGAAATTGGATACTTGACTATTCATCTTGGCTTGTTTGCACTATTATTACATAATCGTCAAAATTATGAATTCAAGTATCTATTATTTTCTTATAGAAAATAGAATTGACAATCGATACATTGAAGGCAAATGACTTTTCTTTCAAAGCTTGCATAACTAATTAAAATTGTTTTGATTACTAGAAAATCCACACGCTAATTTGACACCTTGCCGACATGTCTAAGCGTAATTTTGTTGGTCCTTAACAAATAATTATAATCTTTAATAATAAATCTTATAAGTAGATGATGCTATAATAAAACATTCAATTATATCATAGTGCAACGAGTAAAAGATTCGGAATAAATATGATTTTATTATAATTTAATTCAATAACAAGTTGAATTAAATCAATAGTCTTCTAATTTGACCTCATTTCTAAAATAGCATATATATGGCTATATTGAAGTTGTTTTTAATTCGTTACTCGACACGTAATGTTCATATTGAAATTTCAATTTGTATTCAGATTGTTACACAAGATTTATTATCAAAATATAAAAAATTTCATATTAAAATATTTTTCATACTAATAACGTATATCATTAAGAATCAGTGAATCTTATTCATTTTACCACATTCTTCGATGATTATTCGGGATCAAAAGTGTTGGAGGGCTTTGGCTTGTTGTAAATTGTCAAAGCATGAAAAGAAGAGAAAGCAAATCAGAGAAATAAAAGTTGGACCCGATCACGTGACCCGACTTGCACGGGTCTCTCGTCTTTTTCTTGGTGGTCCAAATCCTCCCACTTCACTTTTTTTCCGCTCGAGTATTTATATTGGAGGTCGATTAAGCCGAAATTAATATGATTTGTTTTTAGAAATAATGTTCTTAATAAATTTTTTCCATATTTAGAACTCGAACTAAATATTTTTAGCTAGAGATGGGGAAATTTTAATCATCCATCACAATCTATGTTGGTCACGCCCTCCAATTATTTCTTTGTTTTTTTTAAAAAAAAAAGCGAAAAAACTCAAATATATCATCGAACTTTGACAAAATGCTCATCTATGATATTCATTAACAAATTGGCTCATCTATGTCATTTCCGTTTGAGAAAAAGTTCATTCATGTCAAACTTTTTACTGATGTACATAGATTAGTTTTTTCTCCAAGTTGGCATGTTTGAACCTTTTCCCTTTTACAAAAATGATTTAATTAATGACGTAACCGAATCATAATTGACCACGTGTAAAAAGTATTTTGCATAATGAAAAATATTTTTAGTTTACAAATAATGGCATGAATAAGCCTTTTCACAAAAGAAAATGACATAAATGAGTTAAATTTTAACAGATTACATAAACGAGTCTTTTCTCAAAGTTCGATCACATATTTTTTAATTTTTTCCTTTAAAAAATAATTTTGTCTACTTTTACATTTTTCAAATGTTTAAAATGAAATATTTCTGAAAATATGACGTCTTTGTTTACACTGTTCATTTCTTTATTAAGTGAAGCAGACAGAACCATGACTTTTAAACTTATCATTAAAATAAATAAATTTTAAATCACCTTTTATCATATGTTTAAAATAAAACATTTCTGAAAGAAACTCAAACAATAACAATTAAAAAAGTCAAAAAAATAATTTATATGTTAAAAAGATCAAATATATGATTTTATTTTTAAAAAAAAATAAAATTAATTTTATTATTTTTGTAACGATAGAGGTATATGTGAACCACTTTTATAACGATAGAAGTATATGTAAGCCACTTTTATAATGAGAGTTATCAGATCTAAATGACAAAATTAAAAGACATATATCAGATCATTTTCCCTTCTAAACAAAAATGATTATTTACAGTGTTCGAGTATGAAATTATGATCGAATTATAACTATTTCAACTTCTTTGAAAGTAATTATTTATGTATAAATTGAAATTCAACTTCAAGCTAAGAATAACTTGAAGGAGACACAACAATCTGCATAGGTTGTTCTTAAAAAAGATTAGCACATACTTTTAATTTAGAAATTGAATTTCTTGTTTCTTTTTAATAAATAATTTATACCACATAAACATCTATAATTGTATTACAATTTTTTTCATAAAAAAAAAAGAGTAGAAATCAGCCAATAACAATATGCCACGTGTCCACTAAATTAGCGTAACTTTAGCAGTTGTTTCAGTTATGGTTTCTTTGTCTGAGGGAACCAACGAGCCACGTGTCACGATAATTACGCTTAATAGAGTAGTTAATACCTTGGAAGAATTAAATAAATTTAACAAGAAGGTGTGGAGTTTAAAAAATTATTCCCTTTCTTGGATAGAGGTAATGCTTACGAGTTCGATGAAATTGAATAAACTATTTTTTATAAAGGAAAAAGATTTAAATAGATCATCGAATTTTGAGAAATGGAATTGTCACCCGTTAAAAGTTTAACTCATTTATGTCATTGTCGTTTGAGAAAAAGTTCATTCATGTCAATATTTTTTAACTTCGATTTTGCAGTTGTCTCTGCTCCTTCCGTTATATTTTATTTTGTTATAATTTGACTGAATACAGAGTTTATAAAAAATATAATCGTCTTTTAAATTTTGTGATCATATTTTAAAAATATGTTTAGTGTATCAAAATACTCTTTCAATCTTATGACCTTCACAAATGCGATGCGAAATATTGAAATTAAAAATCTACTACTGAGTATAAAAATATCATTTTCTAAAAATTGAGAAAAAAGAAATAAGAATATTTTTTTTGGAAACACCAAAAATTCATCATCTTCTTCCCCTCTCATGTGCATCATTTCAAAAGCAAAAGCAAAAGTAAATGTCAATGTGATTTGCTATTGTTTATTGAGTTGATTGAAGTTCAGCAATTTAAATTATCAGTATTGTAAAATAATGTTCTATTTTATCCTTGAAGAATTTAATTCAAATTTTAGGCAATTATGGATGGGATGAGTTCTTTAAAAAAAGAAAATGCTCTTCATCAAAGATTTTCTTTATTTAAAATTTTAAATTCAAAATTTTAATTAAAAGAGGAACAACTATTCGACGTTGGTATAACATAATGTCAAAGATGATGAATAGAACCATAAAAAGAGAGCCAATTGTCAATTTTCTGATTTTGCAGTGTGTACCATAAAAAGACAATTTTAGAAACGACAAAGAAATATGAGAGAGATCACTAATAATAATAGTAATAATAATGCACCTGTCACCATAACCTTAAACAGTACTTGGTTGGGATGCTAATTTGTTACTTAATTAATACATAGTTTTGTATTTGTCTTCTACTTGACTAAGGGCTTATAGGCCCTAGGCATCGAACAAAAATGGTATGTATTAAATGTACTTTTGAAAAGATTTGATGTGTAAAATGGTTTACGTGATAGAGGGGATGTGTAGTGGAGATTTGGGTACAATGTCATGGGGTAAATTATATGTAAAATTTTAAGACTAAACCTTAATGAAGTTGAATTATATATATATATTTTTCTCTTTATATATAAGTCATAATTGATGTGCTTCCAGTCAACGTATCTGTAGATGGTAGTTTGTGATATAAAAAAGATTTAGAAAAGATAAATTTCAATAATGATCGTCGTGATAATGTCTAATATTGGCGATGGTTATGGGAGAAGACTATAGATGGTAGTTTGTGGTGGTGGTGGTTAAACGAAGTGGTTAATGATAATGATGGTTAGCAATAGTGATTGGAATGGTGGTAATTTGTGGTAAATGATGGTGATTGATAATGTTTGTGATGACTGGTGACGGTAATTGTTGGTAGTTGTGATAATGATGGTTGGTGATTGTAATTATAAATGATAGTTGATGGTAGTGATGATTAACTGTGGTGAACAACGATAATAATGATTGTGGTTAAAAATAATTTTGTGATCAATAGAGGATGATAGTTGATAATAATGATAAAATGATGATGACAACTAGCAACAAAAATGAATGGAGTAGTTGAAAAATGTCTTCTTCGAAAAATCGTTAAATAGATAGCGCAATAATAAAATTACATTAAAATTTTCTTATAATAATAAAGAACTTGATAAACTATGTATGCCCAATAGTCTAAAGTTTGTACTCGTAAAATTCATAGTTGTGATTTATATTGTATTAATTAGATTACATATTCCCCTTATCAAATATCTCCTTAGTCATCATATATATTAATAGAGTCACACTATCAATCCGTGTGGCCTTACAACACTTCTTTATATATGATATCAGAGACAAAGTATCAAGTAGCGTTACAGATTACGAATCTTAGGACTACACAAACAACATCTCCTTGACAAGACATATATTGAACAAGAAGATCTCCGCAACTTTATCACAGACATACTGGTAGTACTTAGAATGATAAATGAAATACTGGATCAACCAAACAATTCAACTTTGAAAATATTACAATATAAGAAGAGAGAATAAATATTCACCACAAGTCAACATGTGTTCCAATAAGAAGAAGGAATAACCAATATATTTATAAAAAGAAATGACATTTAAAATAAAATGGAAAGGTATTGGTTTTTCAAAATGGAAAAGGACAAAACACATATAAAATTAAAAGACATATAGAAAAAAGTTGATTTAACTCTCAAACATAAAAACTAACATATGTTATTAAAAACTTTAATAAAAAGTACTATAATTTACAATAAATAATAACTTAAAATATCTACAAGACAACCAAAAAAAGACTAATTTTTGTACTGCTTGTGTCACATAAATTAGGATTGGGATGATTTTAAAATTTTAATTTTGGTTATACATTATAAAATAGCCGAAAAATTGAATGATACAATTTTTTTAAAAATAACCGAATGAATCGTCCTATCGATAACCCTAATGTTACTTCTACTCTATTTATTTTTACTTAAATTTAGAAAGATATGCTTCATTTCTACCCTCAATCTTATCGCTACATTTATTTGCTATTTAAAATTGAAATTAAAAAGACAAATGACAAATAAGTTTCTATATTAGCTCACTTAATTATGAGCAAAATATATTATAACAATCTTTACTAATTTTATAACAATACATAAACTATACTCCCTCCGTCCCATATTAGATGGGCACTTCCAACTTTACTCGGTGATTAAGAAATCATTAATACATTGGAAGACTTCACCATTTTACCCTTTGTTTATATCAATGCACAATGAAATGTGTTACAAAAAATACACATACAATATAAGAATGGTCATATTAATTGTAGGGGTAGAATGGAAAAGAATTAATTAATTCTATCCTAATTTAATAAGTGCTCAAATAATATGAAATTTTTTTTTAGTAAGATTCTCATCTACTATGGGACGGAGAGAGTATTAGTTTTTGAAAATGGAAAAGGATAAAACACATATAAAATTAAAAGACATATAAAAAAAAATTGGTTTAACTCTCAAACATAAAAACTAACATATGTTATTAAAAACTTTAATAAAAAGTACTATAATTTACAATAAATAATAACTTAAAATATCTACAAGACAACAAAAAAAAGACTAATTTTTGTACTGCTTGTGGCATATAAATTAGGATTGGGATGGTTTAAAAATTTAATTTTGGTTATACATTATAAAATAGCCGAAAAATTGAATGATATAATTTTTTTAAAATAACCGAATGAATCGTCCTATCGATAACCCTAATGTTACTTCTACTCTATTTATTTTTACTTAAATTTAGAAAGATATGCTTCATTTCTACCATCAATCTTATCGCTACATTTATTTGCTATTTAAAATTGAAATTAAAAAGACAAATGACAAATAAGTTTCTATATTAGCTCACTTATGAGCAAAATATATTATAACAGTTTTTACTAATTGGACACTTCCAACTTTACACGGTGATTAAGAAATCATTAATACATTGGAATACTTCACCATTTTGCTCTTTGTTTATATCAATGCACATTGAAATGAGTTACAACAAATACACATACAATATAGGAATGGTCATATTAATTGTAGGGGTAAAATGGAAAAGAATTAATTAATTCTATCCTAATTTAATAAGTGCTCAAATAATATGAAAAAAATATTTTTAGTAAGATTCTCATCTAATATGGGACGGAGAGAGTATTAGTTTTTGAAAATGGAAAAGGACAAAACACATATAAAATTAAAAGACATATAAAAAAAAGTTGGTTTAACTCTCAAACATAAAAACTAACATATGTTATTAAAAACTTTAATAAAAGTACTATAATTTACAATAAATAATAACTTAAAATATCTACAAGACAACAAAAAAAAGACTAATTTTTGTACTGCTTGTGTCACATAATTTAGGATTGGATGATTTTAAAATTTTAATTTTGGTTATACATTATAAAATAGCCGAAAAATTGAATGATATAATTTTTTTAAAAATAACCGAATGAATCGTTCTATCGATAACCCTAATGTTACTTCTACTCTATTTATTTTTACTTAAATTTAGAAAAATATGCTTCATTTCTACCCTCAATCTTATCGCTACATTTATTTGCTATTTAAAATTGAAATTAAAAAGACAAATGACAAATAAGTTTCTATATTAGCTCACTTAATTATGAGCAAAATATATTATAGCAATCTTTACTAATTTTATAACAATACATAAACTATACTCCCTCCGTCCCATATTAGATGGGCACTTCCAACGTTACACGGTGATTAAAAAATCATTAATACAATAGAAGACTTCACCATTTTGCCCTTTGTTTATATCAATGCACATTGAAATGAGTTACAAAAAATACACATACAATATAGGAATGGTCATATTAATTGTAGGGGGTAAAATGGAAAAGAATTAATTAATTCTATCCTAATTTAGTAAGTGCTCAAATAATATGAATTTTTTTTTTAATAAGATTCTCATCTAATATGAAATGGAGAGAGTAACAATATAACTTTATTAATGTTGGGCCCAGGCAGTGCCCAGACTTTCTTTACTAGTATATCTAGACATATCAACTTGTCTACATTGTGTTAGTTGTACACTTCAACTTATAAAATAATCATTTAAACACCTTCAAGTTTATGTGTCACGTCGATATCAAATATCCACGAAACACAACAACAAAAGTTGAATTGCCTAAATCTGCATTCTCATAGAAAGATGTCTATCTATCCATGTATTATGCCTTTTTATTTCCAACTAACCATAGTTACCTTCTAATTAAACAACATTATTCCTAAACAAACTAGTCATTATACCTTGATTATCTACTATAGTCTTCCCCCTTTATCCTCCCCCATTTGCCCCATCCCAAAGCTCAAAGCTTTTTCTTCTCCCTCACTCTTTTGTCCACTTCTACAAGAACCCAAGAAAAGCTTTCCCAAGCTACTAGTTAATTAAACTAACCAACTTTTCTCCTTGAAAGTTACCCACCTCAAATCCATCATCACTACCCCCACCCCACCTCTCTGTTTCTTGAACTATAGCTTCAGACCCTTTGTTCACTTCTTTCAGACAAAATATCAAACAGATAGAGTGCAACAACAAAACCCACCTCAGATTCATCACCACTATCCCCTACAGTCTTGTTGGAGGAAAGAAAAATTGGGTCTTTTTCTGTTTCTTAAACTGTAGCTTCAGTCCCTTTGTTGAATTCTTTCAGGCAAAATATCAAACACATAGAGTGCAACAATGAGCTGACATTTTGGGTCAATTGGTGATGATACAGAAAGAGATTACTTTGTTTATACTCAATGGGAAGACGACAAATTAATGGTGGTGTTGATTTTTGGGGAATTGTGCCACCGCCGAGTATGGCTCCGGCAGAAGCAAATGGTGGGCTAGAAGGAGAAGATCATTGGAGAAACTTTGACAACTCTGTAAATGCTGTATCGTTTGGTTTCGTTGCGACTGCTATTCTTATTTCTATGTTCTTAGTAATGGCGATTTTCGAGAGGTTTCTCCGGCGAAGACCATCGTCGTCCGGTGGTGATCGGAATAGTTCCGATCAAATGAGAGTCCAGAGGAAACTTGATTACCCTTCTCCTGAGGTATGCTTTTATTTTCTCACTTTTTTATTTTGATGCGATGTGTGTGATTCATTTCGTTTTATATGACAATATTTAACTAAACTTAAAATTTATGAAATAACCAAATGCTTTATGCTCACATATCAAAATAATATTAACTCACGAAGAAATTTTAGTAGCTAAGTTAGTTTATTAGTGAGAGTTGAATTATACATTATATAAAATTGGTGATTTTAAACGTGACATAGTAGTTACTCCCTTCTTTCTAGGGATAAGGGTGAAAAATATCTCAATTTTGGTCGGATTTGCTGTTGCAATACTAAACTTTCATGAGGACCTATTACTCCCTAGACTATTTAATACCGTATTTTTTACCCCTGAACTATTTAATAGTGTATTTTAAAGGTATATATGTGTCCACGTGGACACATTACTATTTATAATTTTGCATTATCTTTTATGTCCACGTGGACAAATATATATATTTAAAATATGGTATTAAATAGTCTAGAGAGGTAATAGATCCTCATGAAAGTTTAGTATCGTAACAACAAATTCGACCAAAGTTGGGGTATTTTTCAAATCCTTATTTCTTCTTTCTATTTGCATTCTCATTAAAATGGTTTGGTTATGTAAAATCTACAAGCTAGAGGTAAGATGATCTATGCGTGTTTTGTTATTTTAGATCGTATTTATGAGATCACATTGGATTTATTGTTATTGTTGTAGTTGATTATGTAGAATCCACTTAACTAAAATAAGTATGAAATTCTGTTAAAAATAATCAATATCTTTTTTATTATGTTGAAATTTATTATTTTGAAGTAAATATAAAAGCTAAAAACACAATAAAAGAGAAAATCTATTGCATCGTCATTATCAAGATAAAATGAGAAGTTTAAAGTTTAGAACTTTTAAACATTGGAAAATTATAAGTATTATTTCCTAAGAGAATTGAAATATTTATCATTACCCTTCGTCCATTTTTTACTTTTTCATATATTAAAAATTGTATATTTATTTGTATTTGTTCGATTAAAAAATCAAACATAACTTATCATTTATAACTTTTTGCATATCAATATGATGAAAAAATACATCTTAAACTATTATTTAAAATTCATATCGTTTGACTCTCAAAAAGAAAATTATGACAACTAAAAAGGAACAATGAAAGTATTAAAAATAGATGACACTTTTACTTGTTTAGTTTAGAAAAATAAAAAATTATTTATCATTTGGTTTTTAATGTATTTTTTTAAATATTAAATTTATTATATTCAAAGGATGACATAATAAATTCATCATTTTATTAATTACTTTTTAAGAGATGTATCAAGTCAAATATGAAGAAGTAAAAATGAACAAAGGAAAAACAAGTTACTCCTATTATTCTAGATTTTTTATACTAAATTATATGATTGTCTCCATCAAACTAAGATGCATAAATTGAAATGAAAATACTTTATTTTTAAGGACCGCAATGAGTAGTCTAACTAACTTTTTTGTGACAGTTAATTGCTTTTTTCCTTAATGTCATTATTGCTTCTCACATAATTATGGCTATTACAATAATAACTCATAGCTGGATTATTTGAATGGGATTCTATTCATAATTATCATTTTGTAGACCTTAGTGAATATGAATCATTCTTGATCATCATGTCCTTGGAAAATTTATTTTTGAATTTTTGATTCAATTAATCTAACTTTAACCCTCAGACAAAAAGAAAAAGTTATTAACATTATTCTAGTTAAACATAGTTTGTCATAATTTATCAGACGGGAATCTAAATTAGTTAGGCTCACAAGCTTCGGACAACAAATGCTTAAACCGGAAAAGATAATGTGTCAAGTATCACAAAATATAGAGTGATGAGATTAGGGGCGGATTTAAGAGGGGGCGAGGGTGTTCACTCTATCTCTTCAGTAAAAATTTTTATGGTTTATATAAGGTATTTTTGAATTTTAGAAGTTGGCTCAGTGGTTTAGGGAGTTCAATATTCACCTTGAGATTCTAAGTTCAAATTTCAGGCACTATATTTTTATTTTTCTAAGACTGGACTTATAAGCTGGTTAAACTAATTTATATACACTACTTTAACTTATATATGCATTTTGGTAAATATTGAAAGTGTTTATAAGCCAAAATCAATCAAAAATTATATAAATTGGTCACTCTCAACTTTTATGATTCTACAACTTCTAAAAGTACTTTTAGTATGATCGAGCCTTTTATAGTTTTATCCCTAATATCGTTTGTAAAACAGTAATTTTAAATTATTTCTCTATTCTATTTTAGTTATTGTCCTTTTTCACCAACTTTTTGTGTAAATAGTTTTAAAGAATATTGCAGACATTTTAGCAGAAAAAAAAATGCTTATGAACATCTTTTTATCAAATACATTCATGATTTATGTTGTTCGGGCTCTTCAAAAATATCAACATGTACATTTCAAATTTTTAAAGGTAATGCATTTTTTGAGGATTCTATTAAAAATATAATTAGATACTACGAGTGTGCTTTCTCTAATAGCTTAAACTTTTAGATGAGATAGTTACATGCTTCAACATGGTATTAGAGCAGACAAAGGTTCTGAGATCGAATCTCACCACCACCCATGTCAAAAATAATTTCCACGTGCTTGACTTATGAGAAAAAAAAACCAGGCCCGCACGTGAGGGGTATTGAGAATATAATTAAATAATTAAAATTTGTTATCTCTAATATCTTAAGCTTTTAGATGAGATAGTCATACGCTTCAACATTGTATTAGAGCAGACAAAGGTTCTGAGATTGAATCCCACCGGCTTGACTTATGAAAAATAATCAAGCCCGCATGTGTGGTGGTATTGAGAATATAATTAAATAATAAACATATGTTCTCTCTAATAGCTTAAACTTTTAGATGAGATGGTCAAATAAACGAACGACTTATCATCAAATTCATCACTTCTATCCAAACACGTATTTATAAATTCAACTTCAATACCTTAATACTGATCGACTATTTTTAATCAGCTAACCCAGAGGGACTCATAATTTTCATAATGAACTTAAATTTATTGGAAACATCTCATTCTTATGTATTCATGCGATTCTTTTGTCTAAAACCAAAAATTTATTAAACAAGAGGTTGCCATGATGGCCCCCATTGTGTTTTCTGCATGGTACACTACCAAGTATAAAAGACTTTTTAGAAAAAGACTTTTCTAGTTGAAGCCCATGTTGCGTGTGTCCCATTTTTATGCATATTAGAAGACATTAAAGCCCCATGATATGCTATTTTATACAAAGAGTTATTCAGAACAATGGTTTTTTGATTGTCATTCTTGTCCCAGCATCTTGACAAAAGAGAAACTATAGCTTCCAATGACATCCCACCATATTTTGACTTTGGACGCCATGATGACATAGGATGAGTTAATGTTGGGATTCAATATTCTTTTTATAATCGTGATGTTCAGTTTAACTTGTGTGTATTTCTATTAAATCTACAAGGTACCTGCTAATTTCCCTTAGCAACTAGCAGGTATCGAATAATTGTCATTTTTGCCTTCGCTGAAATTGTATAGCCTATTTGACTTCTTCATGTGTTATTCATACTTAGAACCCCCTTAATGAAAATTCTAATAGCATATATAAACAATCTAATTTTCCGTAAAGAGGGTTCGGATGGACCCCTCGGCCCTACGTGGCTCTGCCTCTGTCCTCAAGGTAAGGTGTATCCACCCTTGGACCACACCCTTGGGTGCCAATGCTGGGATTCAACATTTTCTTGACATGTTACCTTTTTTGGGAGAAGATCAATGAATTAGGATTTAAAAATTCACAATTTTGAAAGATTTATGAGTGGGAGTATCTGAAGTTTCTATAGTGGGCTGCATTATGACATATTTATTAATTGTTCCTTTTCAGTTAAGTACACTTGTCTAGTATTCTTCCCAAAATTATTGCTAAAGCTAAGATTCTTTTGCTTTAAATGTTCTAATTGATTGCTAGAATCATGTGTATACCAATGCTTAATAGTGTGGAGCAAATTGTTTTATCAAAAAATATGCTTCTTTTTTTAAAACAGATCCCTATTTTAGTGTCGTCATGTGTTTTTACTTGAGTCGAGGGTCTGTTAGAAATAACTTCACAAGATAGGGGTAAAAGTGCGTACACCCCACCGTCTCCAAGACTCCACTTGTGAGATTATACTGGATATGTTCTTGTTATTGATGTTGCCTGTTTTAGTGTTGCAATTTCTACCATGAGAAGTCTAAAACATACTTATTGCCTTTGACTCTAGCCTCTCATTTAACTGGCTACTTCATCAACTTCTCAATCCCTTATGAGTGTAGCTCACACTTCTACATCTTTTCCTATCTATAGTCAGAGGACTGCTGCTCATAACTATTGGCGGCTTATAATAAGTGAGCTACTATAAGTCTACAAAAGGTTAAATCGCATAGCTAATGTAGAATTTTCTTATACTGACAGTGCATATAAGTTAAATTTCATTTTCTTTTGTTGATGATTCTCACCTATATATGTGGAGTTGTCTATATAATGTTCTTCTGTTAATACTTACAGATGACTTTTTATGCGAATGGAGTATCAGTACTGATGCCTGGGGAAGAAGTTCCTACCTTCATTGCACATCCTGTACCCGCGCCTTCTCCTATGGAATGTACATCTCAACCCCTTCATCATCAAAACGACGCGTCTCCTTCAAGTCCAGCCTCAACTTCTACTAGTCATAGCTCCAGTTGACAACAATACAGATATGAAATTGAAATTTATGGTTGTCACTCACAAAAACCTCTATGTGAAAGTAGATATTTGTTAGGAAAAATGTCCACTCATACATTAAAATTTAAGGGTTTTTTTACCTTGAGGAACTTGTCATTGTATTTACATATAGTGTAATATGATCTGACTACTGGCTTTCTTCACTACTCCAGGATATGTTCCAATTCCAACCCCTTCTTTACATGGAGCCAGGATTTTACCAAGGGATTCCAAATATAAAGAAGTAAACACACGAAGAAATCAAAAGGATTAAGCAATTTTATTTTTTTTATAATTATAAAACTAAGTTTGATCTAATATATACGTTTTTCAAGAAGGAATTGGCATCACCAATGAAAGTTGAACCCAATGATCTCTCCCTCCTACCTTCAAGTGTTGATCTTTGTTTGTGTTGGTGTTGAGGTTCTACCCTATAATTTATTTAGCGAACGAGATTCAAAGAACATTTTAGTACATTATATACATATTTAAGATAGGGTTACTAGATTTTTTAATTAAATTTCGTGTCCAATTAAACTAAGACATTTTTTCTTTTGTCCCTCCTCAAGAGCTCCTACCTTTTTTTCTCTATTGGTGACTCAAACCAACAACCACATGATTGGAGGTGAGAAAACAACAACATACCCTGTGAAGTTCTACTAAGGGGTGTCTGGGGATGCACTATAGTAAAAACAACTTTTAGTGTCAATAAATATACACATTAAGTCATTAACAAAGAGAGAGCTAAAACCTTTATTGACATTAGTTAATTCTCATTTGATCTAATGCCGATGTAGGTTTTAGGGACATTTACAAAGAGTGTTAATTGCCGCTAAAAATACATAATTTAGTGATAGTTAAGTTATTGTCATTAATTAATTGCCGCTAAAGATCAATTTTGGTGTAGTGAGCATAGAGTGTACACAAACCTTATCACTATCTCACACTACAACAAAACATCTTTTAACGGCAATAAATATACACAATAACAAAAAAGGCTAAAGCCTTTATCGACATTAGTTAATTGATCCAACGTGGCTTAAGGTTTTAGAGACATTGACAAAAAGTGCTAATTGCAAATACATTTTTAGTGCAATCAACCTATTGTCAATAATTAATTGCTGCTAAAGATTATTTTTGATATAGTATCATAGAAGTAGAGATGTTATTTCTGAAAGACCCTCTCGACTTAAATACAATATAATCTCATATACATAAAAAAAAAAGAAAAAAAAAAGAAGACCTTAGTATTTAGTGAGTCTCACACACCACAACTAATCAAACTTACCATTAAGGTCCAAAATCTTCAAACTTGTATAAATCCCTCCAGATTTTTTCCTGTGAACACCCGCAAATACCTTCATACATTTTTTCTCATACATAAATTCCCCCAATTTATTCTGCTAAAAAACAGGCAAAAAAATGACCAAATGAATGATAAACAAAAAATACATAACAGAATATTGCAAAGAAAACAACTATTCACTAATGACTCTTAATTTAATTCAATAATAATTGTGCATTGTGTGATCAATGCACATTTTCTACATTCCCAATTAGTGCTACAGATTATTTTTTTTTTGCATATATTTGTATATTTCTGTTGCATTTTTTGGGTTTGCTTTTGGGAGCTTAGAGTTTTTTGATTATTGAAAAAAAAAATGGCCTATAATGATAATCCTTTTGCAGAAGAAGCTAACGTGAATCCGTTTGCGGTACGTCTCTAGCACGATAGATTGGTGCATTGTATCTGTTTTCCGATAGTAGTTGCATTTGTCTCGTAGTTGCCTTTGTTATTCCTTGTTTATTTATTGTGTTTCAGTTATCACATTAGTTGGTTATATATGGTTGTTGCCCCCTTTTTTGTATGTTATGTTTTCCTTATTATTTTCTATGTCCTCTTTACGTTTGTATTGTTGCTATGATGTTCGTTACTCGAGCTGAGGTTCTTTTGAAAACAACCTGTCTACCTCCTCGAGGTAGTGGTAAGGTGTATGTACACTCTACCATCTCCAGACCCCGCTTTTGAGTAATTTGATACATTGTTGTGGTTTTGATTTCTAGTTTAGAGGAAAGTGTTGTTCATGTTGGTGTTGTGGTTTTTATTTTATTTTTTAGTTGCCTTTTTGTGTTGTTAGAAATGATTAAAATGCCATGGAGTTAGAATATTGTTTTTTTTTTTTTTTTTGAATTATTTTTGTTTGAAAATCTATTGGATTCGAGCCCTGGAATGAAAAAAATCTTGGTAGGAAGCGTTTCCCTCTTTAATGAACCTTATACGGCATGAAATTGGATTGGTTAGTGTCCTGGAATGGGTACCTAACACAGCTTGTAAACCCGAAAAGAATTTTGCTTTGAAAATTTGTATGTCCAATTTGAACTATATCAATGGATCCTGGCCTTGTAACTGCCCAGAGGAAGAGATTAAGCAAAGGATGACAAAATTTGATATGAAACCATAAAGTCGTTTTTAGGTGAAGAGCAGCTTTGCAGTAATAGTAAAGTCGTCTCCCTTATGACCTCTAGGTCACGGACTTAGAGTCTCACTAAAGCTCCGTGCAGCCCCTATTCCAGTGCCGAATTTGAACAGTGAAGTGGCTGGACATGACATCTAGGTCACTAGTTCGAGCCATGGTATAAGTAATTAATGCTTGTGTCATAGTAGCTAGCCTATATTATACTCCCTTGAGGTGTGTCCTTCCTCGGACCCTGTGTAAACACGGGATGCTTTGTGGATCGGGTTGCCATTTATTAGGAGCTTCTTTAATTTCATTGAACTAGCTTCTTATGATTATATATATATATATATACACCTTGCTTATGCATTATTTTACTTACTAAAATGTTCAGAATGGGAGTTCAGCTCGTGGTTCAACAGTCGATATTCCTCTTGATAGTGCAAAGGTGAGACAGATTAGTTGACAATTTGAACTCTGTATATTTTGCTTACGAATGAACAGAGTAATCGTGTGTTTCATTGCGATACTGCGGTTTAATGATCCTTTTTTAACTCGCGTAACTATTCAGGATTTGAAGAAGAAAGAGAAGGAACTACAAGCTAAAGAGGCTGATCTGAAAAGAAGAGAACAGGTAGGCTTGCATAGCACTTTATATGGCTATGTTGCTTGGACTCTTCAAAAATGATGACATGTGTCGGATTCCCTAAAAGTAGTTCATGTTTGGAGAATCCGACACTGGTGTAACAACATTTTTGGAGAGTCTGGACAACATTCAGTTGCAAATTTGTGATGGGACATATTGATCCGTCACAAAAAAGAAAAGTTTACGAAGGACCATCCATCGGAAACATTTACACTAGTAATTCTCTGTTTTCTTTGTTTCTTACAGGATGTGAGAAGGAGAGAAGAAGCTTTAGCAGGAGGTATATATTTTCTCCATTGTATATTAATATGTTTTTGCGCGCTCTTGAGCTGATAATCAAAGTTTTATTTGACGAAAAATTTGTTCTTTACTTCTGATCTCCCCTTCTTCTTTCGACAGCTGGTGTTGTTATAGAGCATCGTAATTGGCCACCATTCCTTCCAATCATTCATCATGATATTGCGAATGAAATTCCAATCCATCTACAAAAGATGCAGTATGTTGCATTCACTACATTGTTGGGTACGTTGATTTAATCAATAATATTCTCAACACGCCCCTTCACATGTTGACTTTGATTCTTTTTTTCATTGAATCAAGCACGTGAAGTTACTTTTTGATAAAACGTGGTTGGTGAGACTCGAACTCATGACCTTTGTCTGCTCTGATATCATGTTCAAAATGATATTTGAATCAAGAGTGTCTATAGTCTTAGGAAATTGTTTTGTTAGAATGATTTTCAGGGACGAGCTTTGGTGCTTCTTCGATTGTTGAATCAGACAAGTATCTTTAACTTCAAACTTTGTGAATTGCAGGTTTGGCGGGTTGTATGGTATGGAACATAATGGCAACCACCTGTGTTTGGATCAAAGGAGGAGGTTGCTGCTAAACTAAATCTTACAATCTTTTTAATCCTTCAGAGTTGATTTCTCAAATCGTCACTCAACTAAAGACGACTTTCTGAGATACTATTAGTTGAGTGACCATCAGAGAAATCAACTCTTATCCTTTAGTATAAATCAACTATCTAACTTAACCTTTTTGTATCATTATAGACGTTGGCGCTTGGTTTTTCTCTCTTGTCTACTTCTTAGGTATTCCATCAGCCTACTTTTTGTGGTATCGTCCTCTTTATCGTGCGATGAGGTATTATATTGTTGTTGTTGTTATTGTTTTCTTATAATTTTGTAATGTTCTTCTACCTGTCGGTGACTATTTTCTCATATCTATTCTGTTTGCAGGACTGATAGTGTGCTGAATTTTGGGTGGTTTTTCTTTTGTTACGCGGTGAACACACATTCTTCGTCTCTTTCATTTCTTTTTTTTGCACTTGAGAGGTGCTTAATGATGTTAGAGTGCTTACTTGTCGGTTGATGTCAAGTTTGAGTGTCTGTTTATGTATTATGACTCTTTTTAATTCAATATGTATTGCAGATTCACATTGTATTCTGTGTCTTAGCCACAGCAGCACCTCCATTCGTCTTCAGGCAGCAATCCATGACGTAAGTTGAGTTTCTTGTGTGTGAAACGAGACTAGTTTGGATGTTTTTCTCGTCTTTTTTCTATAATCGTGGTGTCTGAGTCAACTTGCCATTTTCTCTTTTGATCTTTTCTATTTCATATAATATGACTAACTCCTTTTTACATTCTATGGTTAAACAGTGGTTTCATAAATGCAATTAATCTTATCGGCTGGAATTCGATAGTTGGGGTAAGGCTATGTCGGATTTTCATACTGTTAATTCATAAAATCAATCGTCTTCTGAACTTTGCGCGTGTTCAGATGAATGTCAGATCGCGAAAATCAAGAAACTCTAGCCATGTTGTACTAAATTAAACCTTGATTTTACTTGCAGATAATATTCTTCATTGGTGCTGGACTCTTTGCTCTTGAATCAGTGATCAGCATATGGGTTATTCAGGTTTAGTTTATTTGCCCCTTTGTCATTTCTTCTAGTATCGCTCTTACCAACAGG